TTCAAAAGATTAGCTATCCTCATAGTGATTCACCAATAATTAATAATATAACCTGTGCGTGATACAATAAAAGAACTACCGGTTCCTAACTCTATTAAAAAGTTAAAGTAACCAATACATTTTGAATGATATTCATAGACTTTCCGTTGGTCACATGGATTATTCATTGTGTTTTTTTCAGAGTAAAATATAAAACTGAACATAATTATGGCAAAATGTCAAGTAATTTTCATTTTCACTAACCATTTACACGTAGATGAACATAATTTTACTAATTTTTGTCAGTATTCATTATTCAAGAAGTCATTTTTTTTTTCAAACCAATTTTAAAATATAATTAGTATAATCACATAATTGGTGGAAAATGACGCAACTATAAGTTTATCTATTTATAGAATAACTTCCCTCCCTATGTCATGTTACTATAAATAACTTGTTTTCACTTATCTAATAACACATCCTTTTATAATAATAATAATTTGCATATCCTTGTCATGTACATGTAATAATTTAGTCAGTGGTAATAAGTAATGAATTAGTCATCTAACAAGAGCTGTCAGTAGGACAGCATGCTCGACTATTCTAAGTGCTTGATAGTAAAAGAGCCTTCATAATGTTAAATTTTTTAAGTTCACTAAAGGGCCAATTTTTTTTTATAAATTCATGTTATAGGCCAATTATACAGTATTGGCTTGACTATTCGGAAGGTAATGTCACAAGGGTGTTTTATTGAGTATAATAATACTAATAACCTATGAATACATAAATTTGACAGAAAAGGTACAAAGGCTTGTTATTAAGATGTTTTATCAAGTAAATCACTGCTTTATTATTATGAATGCATAAAATTGTCCCAAAAAGGCACAAACCCTTCAGTAGTTATTGAGATAACAGCTTACAAGCAAAACTTTACCATGAATTTCTAAGTTGAAAAAGGGGAGAAAAATCAGCCTAAATGCAAGATAGAATTATGGATCTTTGTCAGTGACCTACAATTATGACCCTAAATGCATATGTGAAGTTTTAAATAAATATCTTTAATAGTTATTGAGATATATATAAAACTTGCATGTAAACATTAACCAAGAGACTAAGTAGAAAATGGAATATGAATCAGCCTTAATGCAAGATAGAGTTATGGAACTTGATCAGTGACATACAATTATGACCCTCCAATTATGACCCTAAGTGCATGTGTAAAGTTTCAAGTAAATATCTTTGAAGACCTTTAACCTTTAACCAAAATTTCTAACTTTCAAAGGGGCAAATAATTCTGCAAATTTTGCAGACAGAGTTATGCAATTTTGCAAACTGATGTACATTGTTACTATAAAAAGTATTTTAAATTTCAATTGAATATCTCAAGCAATAATTGAGATATTTGACTTTATAAAAAAACTTTAACCAAAATTTCTAAGTTCCAAAGGGGCATAATTCTGTCAATATTGTAGGCAGAGTTATCCAACTTGTCAATCTGATGTACCTTGTTACTATAAATAAGTATTGTAAGTTTCAATTGAATATCTCAAGCAATAATTGAGATTTTTGAGTTTACAAAAAACTTTAACCAAAATTTCTAAGTTAAAAGGGGCATAATTCTGTCAATATTGTAGGCAGAGTTATCCAACTTGTCAATCTGATGTACCTTGTTACTATAAATAAGTATTGTAAGTTTCAATTGAATATCTCAAGTAATAATTGAGATATTTGACTTTACAAAAAACTTTAACCAACGCAGACGCCGACGCGGACGCTGACGCCGACGCGGGGGCGACTACAATAGCTCTCATATTCTTCGAATAGTCGAGCTAAAAATTACAATGAGCTTTTATTGTACCAGATGTAACTTGGTAATATTTGCAAATCCTTTGATAATTTTTTCTTAAGAAATTTGCGACGCAAAACTTGCATTTTATGAAGCTACTGAACAATCAGAGATCAAATTTGCCAGAAAATTTCTTTAAAATTATAATTTTGCTATTTAGATTATTCTCCTCAAGTCTACATTATTATTTGTTAAATAAAGCATGTAAATAAAGCATTATATTAATTATAATTAAACTCAAAGTGATATATATATTTTTTGTTTATTTTTTGATAAAAAGAATAATCATTTTATTAGTATCATGGTATAAATCACTTTTTCCTTTTTTCTTTTCTTACAAAATATTACAGAGCTAAAAAATCAAAGGCAGGTGTGATTACATTAGTAAAGTCATCTATATCTTTCGCCTTATTTTGCTTCGGGTATCTTACATTAATTTCTACCATTTTAGATTAAAAACAATCGTACAGTATCAAGAAGCGAAGGTGATGACATTTTTCGGTCTGACATTTCAGATGTGCTACTTTTTAAACACCGGTTTGTGGTTATTTAAATGAAATCAAACACGCCACGGCACACCTATCGGGTTAAAGAGAAAAATAGTTCTATAATCATTATGCGTGGAATGTGGCGAAATAGTCCTTATGTTTACTAAAGCGTGGTTGTTGTGTACACAATGGATTTTCAAGCATATTGTGAAAAGAAATCATAAAATATGGATAGTGATTTTTATTGGTCTGCTCAAATAAGATCATAAATAGTCATCCGATCTTTTTAAAGCTTCCCTGACCTAAGGTTAACCTTATTATGTACAAGTGTACATGTATATGTAAAATTGATAATTCTGCTTCATTATTAAATTCATAATCCATTAACAACAGTTGTTAGAAATTATGTGAAATAATCCTTTGATTTTTCATTGATGCCCTATTTTCTTAGGAGATTTTAAAGTGTAACAAATATCACTTCCTATGAAATTTTTTAGGGATCATCTTAAAAAAAAGTAAGTTATCTCAACAGAAATGTATGGTTTAAAGTCACAAAAGGTTATAAAATTGATAACTAGTATTTGCATTGTCATCAAATATTTGTAACATTATACTGGTATCTTGCCCTGAATTGACCTAGTTGACTTACAGGTATCTGAACGACTAGTTTTCAAAGTGGAGACAGTGCAGGTTAATCCTAATATTTCCACACTCTATTGTTACAGTTTTCACTGTAAAACACTTTGAAGTATAAATTTTACATTAACTCTATTGTCTAACACATGTCTGGCTGAAACACCTTGTGAAATTTACAATATTTTTAGTGCATATGCACTTGTATTTACTTTACAGACCTCTTCTAACATAACTTGACAGGTATTAAGTTGCTTGTAATGGGGGTGTTGTTTACATCTTTCTATTTAAAGGTACATGTTGGTGTATTTTTTGCAAAAGATAAAAAACCTTTTGTTAACAATTAAATCAAAATTGATTTTAATTACTTGGTGAGGTATCGATTCCCAGACAGTTAAGTATTTTCATTGCATGGCTCCTAAGACCGAAAATCAGCCAATTCCTAGTTTTTGGCTGATTCCTAAAATCTGTAATACCTTGTCAAGACATTGAACAGTACATCAAAGGTTTAAAACTCTATGTAACACTGACTTTTTTCCAGATATTGACATGCCAATGATGCCATTTTGGTAAATATTACCACTAGAGTTGCCTTACCACTTTAGTTTAAGTTTTAAGTTAAAACTGTTTTGGTATACTGGTAAGGTTTCAATACAATACAAATGTTTATATAATGAAATTCTGATATCATTTTATGAAAATCATACTTTAATATGACAAAAGAAGACATACACATATATTTCTGGTATAAACCACCTTACATCATTTTGTTACAAAATTCAACTTAATGACATATCTGTATACCCAAAGTAAATATAGGTCTATATAAAGGAAATCACTGACCCGATTTTATCAAAATACTACAGCAAACTACACAATTTAATCATTATAGAGCTTTAACCTTTAGCAGTTATTCTCATCAACTTAACTTATACAATATAAACTGATCCCCTGCTAATAAAATAACTTTGTAATAACCTCATTAAATAAATGACATTATAAATGAAATTCTGGGATGAAAATCGTTTATAAAAGGACAACTTTGAGAGGAAATAACAATAATATTAAAATGGTATTCTTATAAAGGCAAAAAGTAAGAATGAAAATTACAGAGACCTTTAGTTCTATCTTAGTAATTCAAAGTTATGGTAAGTTAAAATTCAAATCATCAGAAAGCATCTCTTGGCAAAGCCAAGTTTAAATCTCTCAGCAAAGTCAAGTTTTAATCAAATAAAGTCAACAAGTTTAATATCTTATTTGATATCAGACCCAGTACAGCCTTGAGGTGTCATAACTTGTTTTCCTTATGATCATTCAGGTACTGAAGTATTACACTAAAACTCCTATTGAATAATCAATTTAATTGACCAGTTCATAAAAGTATAAAAGGAAATTATGCTATGTGTTTAATCCCTCATTCAAAACAAGCAAAAACACATATTTCTAACCAAACATTTTAATTAATACTACATTGTACCTAAATGCAGCCAGATCTGACTATAATTAGTATACAAAAATAAGTTTATAGTAGTGTTTTTGTAGAATAAACTAACCAACAAAATTATATATTTTGTCCATTATACAAAATTTGCAGAGTAAATTGTAAACAAAATATATCAGTATTATGCAAGAAGTTATTAAGACATGGAAAAAGACTTTTAGTTATATATAGATTTTACCTTATTTATTGTGATTGCAGTGTATAAATTGGCAAAAAAAATGTAAAAGGGAGCCAGCTGATGTCTTTGATTAACATAGATTACAGTCAAATCTGTGTTAATGACCACCTCCAAATAAAGACCACCATTTAAATAAAGGCTATTTTTCAATGACCCTTCATTTATTAGCTAGAACAGAGTAACCTCCAAATAAATGCTACACATGTACTTGTCTAAAAAGCCATGTGTTTATCTATCCTTTGGATGACATTTGTTCTGAGGATGGTCTGTATATGTGAATCTCAGAATGAAATGTCAAGTTCATATCATAAATAATAATAAATAATGTTGTTAGCATAATTTAATATTTTGAATTATATATACAAATGTACTTACACATATCCATTGAATTTATATATTTCTGCATTTGGTTGCTCACATTCCACTGTATATTTAAACCTCCATGCTTTATATTCATGGCTCTGAAATACCAACACAATTTTTTTGTTGGGTTTTATGTTGCACTAACACAGTAATTAGATCATATAGCTTTACTAGTGAAAAAAGACCTGTGATGCCCTTCTGTGAATTATTTTCAGGCACAAACAGGCACCTTAGTAGAACCATTGACGTTCCTTAAGCTACATGTAGCTGGATAGCTTCCTCACATGAAAGCATCCAAACTAACTGTTGGGATACGACCCACAGTGGTAAAGGGGTAAGTTGTTTGAAGTTGATGAATTGAGAGCCCTGTTCAACATGATATTTCAGCGAAAATCTGCTCAATTAATTCTTCTATTCAAAACAATTTAAAACTGTAACAGTGTAAGTGTTGAAGAAGACTATCAATTAATAGGTTGTTCTAAAACTACTTTATTTTATATAAATTTATCATCTGCAACCAGCACACCATTTTAGCTACTAAGCTAGGAACCATACCTCATAATTTATTCCTGTAACCGACTGTCTTTGCTTGAGATTTGTTTCTCCATCAAGATTCATGGTCTCAACATGACAAATCCCTTGTGAATCAGAGGACTTTAAAAGTACAATATCAGCTGGAATAATGTCATTGCACGATAAGTGAATGATGTCACCAACATGAATATCACACCATTCTCTCGGATGGAAGTCATGTTTATCACTGAAATATTAAGAGATTATTAATATATTAATGATTACTAATTTTGAATTTAATTTATAAATACATGTTTTGTTACATAGAGAAGAATGATTAAAACAAACAATTTTCTTAACATTTATAGTTTCCATTTAATGCTAATAAATGAGAAATGAATAATAGTTTTACAAGAATAACTTTATTTTATCAGACAGTATAATATTTGAAATAGTTGACAACATAAGTCAACTGGATAGATTCCTCACTATGATGTAATTAATCCTTGCCCTTTGTTAAATGGAATATGTGCCAGAAGCACTACTGCATTAAAAACATGTTATCCCTTTGGTTATTCAAACTAACAAGTTAGTATTTAACATAAATACACACTTACTCAGTATTATCAAACACCCTGCACTTGCTACTATTCACTTTTTTATCGGATTTATATCTTCTGAAATCTTCAAACGCATCTTTTACAGCTGTCACAGTAAGCACAAATACAATTGGTATCATAGCAATTTCCTTTCCAAATGCTTGCACCTGTGGCACCCAATTCAACGCCACAACAAACAAAAAGTATAAATTTGCAAATCTGTGGAATTGCTCAAATAAATTCTTAGGTAAAAATGTTATAACAGAATATTTGGTGGTTTTGATTCTATTTGATCTGTGGTTTCTGTTTGGATGGTTTGGTGACTTGATACCTTCTTCTACTATATGGTTTGGCACAATGAGCCTGTATTTCGGCCCAGCACGATTACTTCCCTTAAAGATGTTTCCCATTTTGAAACACCTAGACTTACAGATCTAAATAAACAAAGATTGGTTTTGGTCTGGTCAAGAACAAGAAGACTTTTATGCTACATATTGAAATGTTAAGAACGTGTCCCAGAAAATGACATTTCAAAAATTATCTATTTTGCCATGGTTTAACGTCAGTGACAGGTTTACTAATTAATTTTAACTCACAATTTAAAACATAAACAATTAAATATAATTTAATATTTAAAACTTAAGAAATAACTGAGTTGCTTTTAAAACCTATATGAATGCGCGACGAATCTATGTGCACGTTTTCTAAAAAAAATCAGTTTCACTTTCTTTCCAACGTTTCTTTCCCTGCAAACGCTTTTCCTCTTCTTTCCTTTTATCACAGCACTACACCACTGCCAATTCCAATGAAGTTAATCCACCATGATTTTCAGTAATCCGTACCGAATTAAGTTCATATTACAGCCAAATTCATGTATTTTGCAATGACAATTTAGTTCCTTTCATTCTTGTAAACACAAGAAAACAGAAAATGACGTTGTTGACAACTTATGTTTGTATCGTTAAATTTGATTGGATACCAAATTCACAGTTATATATACTGACCAATGAAATTTATGGAAACAATTTTACCCAAACTGACTGGTTTGCGAAAGCGTTTACAACGCGGATTAAAACAATAGAATAAGATGACCCATTCCTGCTGAAAATTATATAATTAAATCAAATTCCATTTTAGTATCACATGATCACATGCCTGAAGTTCTTTACACATACAAACATTTACTGACATTTACTGACAATTGGGACAGAAGATAACGTTATCTTCTGTCCCAGCTGACAATGGCAAGAAAGTAAACTTGAGAGATAATGACGCATTTTATGTATATTTGAATTTGGAAAAAGGATCTGAAAAGATATCTGAAAGGCACAAACTTATTTTAGGAGACTTTAGAATGACATAACCATTCTAACAATTCTATTTTATTTTTACTTTATTTCTGATAAATTGCTTGAGTTAACCAAAGGCATATTTGTACATTTAAGTCTTGTAATTATCCACAGACTTTAATTACTGTCTGTGATTAAACATCTATGAGGTAATTGAAAATCCAATCTTTAATTAAATTTTCCTTAAAGAAACAACAAACAAACAAACCAAGGCATGTTACTATAAACTTGTCGACAAAATAGAATGAAATTAGACCAACTCATAATCCTTACAACTTTTTATTCAAGACCTATTATTCTCAAGCGGAAGTGTATAATAACAATGATTTCAAAAAGCATAAATAAATGGTCAAAGGTAATAAAAATCAAGAAACTATCAGAATTAACGTTTTAAAATGCAATTTTTGTTGAAACAAGAGTCTCAAACCACAAAGCTTATATTATAAGACGCTTTCAAAACATAACATCTCTAATTAATGTATCAAAGAAAAGGTAAATACAAAAAATCAAACATTTAAAATGCCAAAATATTGGTTAAGCAATTTCAGTTAGTATTTTCCATTGCCCGGCCACTGTGTCTGAACCGCCTTCGTGGTCGAGGGGTTAAAGTCGATGACTTCTAATCCAGTTACATCTCTGGCGTTGGTTCGATCCCCGGGAGATGCTTTGGTAGTTTAGCGCGGAGGAAGGTAGTCTAGTACTAGTGTACTACCCGCCTATATGACTGAAATACTGTTGGGAAAGGCGTAAAATGAAACAAACAAACAAACTTGCAACAATAACCCGGCCAAATTAAATATATATTGTACCGAAAACAAAATCCGAGGCACCAAAGCCCTTAGCATTGTAATAATTTTGTTTCATAGTCTTTATGTTATGGTGACTAGCAAAGGTTCGAGACGCATATAGCTTTGACCTAAAATATGTTTAATCTTGTGACTCATTCAGTATGATATCCATACATTAAAAATATAAGAAAATCTGAAATTTGTTATATTGTTGTAGACAATCAAATCAATGCGACTAGCACTTTTGAGACAAAGATCATGTCCTATTTACAAGCAAGTCGATAGGTTGACACCACGAACCCGACTTATTATTGGCCTTTATCATTAACCTGTATTCTTTTTTTAAAAATGTTGAACCGATCTATCATCACACTTCAGTAATTGCAAAGTTCTTACTTTTAAATAACAGGAAAGAATCTTTTATGAAAAACACAGCCTATTGGTACCCTTGTAAATAAAATCCAACCAGGTAAACAGACAAATCTCATTCTCTTTGACTGTTGTGTTGGATGATGAACACTGTACGGCTCTGTCATTGGCTCACTTTGATGTCATATTTATATTGATGAACTTCCTTCTGTATTCAGGTCCCGAATTCACCTCTTTTCTGATGAGACCTTTGCCTTCACTAACATAAAGGCTTCCTTAATCTCTCGGATTTTGTAGGGGATGTTGAAAAGATGGAAAAGTCCGAAGCCAGTTAATTAGAGTATTTTTATTCAGATTAGATCCCCTTCACATTATCCAGAACATTCATCCAAAGACGAGCGATATATACAGTGAGCAGAGACCTTTATTACAGATTTAAATATATTTAATTTTAATGAACAGATTATTCTCCATTGTCATACGTAATTATAAAATGGATGCAAGTAGATCCTCGCTGGCATTCTCGTGATCAGCGCAGGCTATTTTTAAACTTACGCTGTTTTTGTCTCACGCCTTGGAACTAAAGCTTCCCAGTAATGTTGTTACTCTGCCTGGTCTTAATCAGTTCTAACAAGCGGTGGAATTAGTTGACATGTGTATTTACTTTTAACAATTTCTTTACTCGTACTTATAAATAAACATTTTAACAATTACTTGGATTCCCTCTAGTTTTCTCACTATCCTGATACTGCTCTTTTTCAAGGAGTATCCCCTCTAATAGACTGAGAAAATTTTGAAATCTGAGGTTGACAATGATGTCGACCATTTCCTTTGACTTTCTTATGCCTTTTACATCATTTATATACAATCATTTTAACTGACAATCATTACAAAATTCAAAACGACCGAATTCTTATACAAACCAACGCTTACGGAATTAAGTAAACAAGTTGCTTGAATTCTGTCGTGTTAACATAATGAAAAAAAATCAATATGAAGGAAAATAATCAAGTTTTGTTTTATTATTTTCTTTTGATGTTTTCCAAGTATTTAGCCAACCATGCAAATAGACCGTTTCGATGTTTAAGTCATTCAAGCATGTTAATCTACAAAGACACCAGCGAATGTTTTTATAGATGAAACTGACAAGAAAATATTCCATCCCAGTTTGAAAACGTAATGGGGGTTGGGATTGGGGGCTGCAGCTTTAAAAATTGAAGTTCGTCACATGTCACATGCATGCACTTTTTCTTCCTACAACACCCGCGAAATTGGTTGGTAGTACACATGGGTGAATATTAAAACAATTTTCCTTACATTTATGAGAAGAAAAAAAGACATGTAAAGTGGAATAAATTTAAAATAATAATAAGATAATTAGGCTGAAAAATGCATCATATAAACACCACAAAGTGCTGATAAAACTTCACAGAGGTTTCCTTACAGAACAGAAATGGTTTTTATATCTTCAATTTAAACTTAAATCTGTGTGTTTTCTTATAGGGTTAAGTGTTCCTGTTGTTCTATGTAAGAATCTCAAATTTTACGTTTTAGCGCTTTCAGACCCCAGTAGAGTTCCTTTACATTATAAAATATCTTCCAAAGGAATTTCTGAAATTGCAGACCTATCTGATTAAATAACAGAAAACGCAGAAATAAACTGTTTGTCGTTAGGTAGTTTTACAAAATGGTTGCCAGTCTATAGAGGTTATAACGCGGTAGTTCATTGGTTTATTTTAAAGATTACATCCAATCAAATAACTGTTTCTAATTTGACAACCACCTGACAGACAAGATGGCTGCCCCCATGGAAAATTTCGAGCTTTTGAAAAAAATTGAGATTAAATCTGCTGCAAATGTAATTGTTCAAATTAACAGATATTCTTTTCCATCATTCACACAAGTTCCTTGTTTTCCACTTAGAAGATTTATTGATTTTTCTTTTGATAAGGAAACACTTTGCATTTTTTGAAAATTAGTTGGTAGGTGTGTTCGATTTAAGTTTGTCTTGTTGCAATTTATGTAGCCTGGCAAGGAGATGACAGCTGATTTAGGGGAATATGTTTAAAGATAATTAGGGGACCCCACTTTAGCTTAGGGAATCAAGCATAGGCTAAGATGAATAGATGAATTTCTTGATGTTCAACAGTTCAATAAACATAGTTCCTTTTGTCGTTTTGACCAAGTCTCAATATTTTGACCGACGGATTTAATAATCTGATGTTACATAGATGTTGATCTTTATATCGGCGACCAGGTCTTTAATACGGGGAAGTCAAAGACCGGGCCCGCGAAGCGGGTCCGGGCTTTGGCTTGCCCGGCTATAGACTACACGTGTATATTTAAAAGAAAATCAAATAAAAAACATTTCAAAAATATATAGAATTCTATACCTATCAATGAAATTTTCAGTGTCAGTTCTACTCGGGCGCTGCCATTTACAATGTAACTCAATGATAAAAGGCGTGGTATTCCGATAACGGAACAAATCTCAACTTTTCGGATAAATAATAAACGTCGAGTGTTCCGAGTGAAAACGGAAGCGGTGCATGTAATACCGAATGACAATTTTAAAACGGAAAGAATGAAAGGAATTTTTTAACGACTTCCCCGTTCATAGGCTTTGCCTAATTTCATATTATGAAAAAGGCAAAGCCGCAAAGCGAGCTCGATTTATGTTTACCGTGAAATAGTAATATGAAATTAGGCAAAGCCTATGAACGGGGAAGTCGTAAAAAAATTTCTTTCATTCTTTCCGTTTTAAAATTGTCATTCGGTATTACATGCACCGCTTCAGTTTTCACTCGGAACACTCGAAGATTATTATTTATCCGAAGAGTTGAGATTTGTTCCGTTATCGGAATACCCCGCCTTTTATCATTGAGTTACATTGTAAATGGCGGCGCCCGACTAGAACTGACACTGAAAATTTCATTGATAGGTATAGAATTCTATATATTTTTTAATTGTTTTTTATTTGATTTTCTTTTAAATATACACGTGTAGTCTATAGCCGGGCAAGCCAAAGCCCGGACCCGCTTCGCGGGCCTGGTCTTTGACTTCCCCGTAATATGAAATTAGGTGCTACCTATGGTGCGGAAAACTCTTATGATTTATGATTTAAGCATAACATGTTTAGTGTACATGTTAACCAGATCTATCATGCAATTCGTTAATAAGTAAATGCCGTAAGCAGAAACGAATAAATTGGTGGTGTTCACCCTATTGGTGGTGTTCACCACTGCGCATGCGTCGGCGTTTGGGAAATCCCGTCCGCCATTTTCTGTTAATCTCTAATCACATATGTTGTTTTTACGTTATTTTTAATGTGCTAATTTATCAAAAAGGATTTAAAAGTAACTTTTTACATTTATCATCGTTACTATAGTTCTTATGAATGAAATGAATTTTTATTTTCTGATTTTGTACATCATTCTTTCACCGGAAGTGTCATTAAGCATGCGTCTGTTAGCAATAGTCTGAATTATGTAGACGCTCATTAAAAGCGCTGTGATATCTATATTTAGCTCAAAAGGATTTCAAAATGGCGGCGCCCAGTTAACTAAGGATTTTTTCACAGCTCATTAGGTATAGGATATATGTTTTTTTTTTAAATTTTCATTTACTTTTTATTTGATTTCATTTGAATTGATACACGTCATACATGTTATCTAAGAGCGCTACAGCCCTTGCGGGGCCTTTGGCCCCGCTCGGACTTTCCGCGTATAAAATAATCGTTCATTTTACATTTTCCGTTTTAAAATAGTCATTAGGTATTTTATATACTGCTTCCATTTATTCTGGTTCCCTGTCCTATTATGGTTCCCATAATATAAAACTAGGCAAAGCCTACGAACAGGGAAGTCAGTTAAAAAGTCATTTATTTTTCCGTTTTAAAGGTGTCATTTGGTATTTCATGCACCACTTCTGTTTTCAATCGGAACACTCAATGATTATTATTTATCTGAAAAGTTGCGATTGTCCGTTATTGGAATACCTCACCTTTTATCATTGAGTTACATTGAAAATGGCGGCGCCCAATTAGAACTGACAGTGAACATTTCATTGATAGATATAGAATTCTATATGTTTTTTAATTGTTTTTTATTTGATTTCCTTTTAAATATACATGTGTAGTCTAAAACCGGGCAAGCCAAAGCCTGGGCCCGCTTTGCAAAAGCCAAAGCAGGACACCGGCCAGTCTACGCTTCCGTTTTCAATCAAAATACCTTGCCTTTTATCGTTATCTTGTAATTCGAAAAGTTGCGATTTGTCAATTCAGTACTTTGGATGAAAGTTTTCAAAACCATCACTATCTAGCAGGTACTCCCGTAACCGTAAAGCTCGCTTTGCGAGCAGGCCCTTTGGGCCAGCTCTTCGAGCTTGCTATAATAAAAAGCCATTGCGCACAATCTTGGGCTACTTTTGACCCTACGGTAGACACAAATCTTTGGGCCAGCTCTTCGAGCTCGCTATAATAAAAAGCCATTGCGCACAATCTTGGGCTACTTTTGACCCAACGGTAGACACAAATCAATGCTGTAAGGTTTCATTCTAGTCAATGAAAGCTGACAAGAGTGTATGGTGGTGAGACACTAAAACTGAGCTGAATTTGTGGACATTGAAGTACACAATGTACCTAGTAGCTCATTCTTCTAAGGAGTTTGTTTCAAGTTCTCAAAATATCACCTTTTCAATGATATGGTATTGGCCTTTTTTACCTGACCTCCCAGATATGATGGCCCTGTTTTTCTTTAGTGTAGTTCAGTTAGTCTATGAAAAATCAAGATTCTTCAGCTCTTGATTTTACATCTTTAGAGTACAGATCTGGGCATGTTACCAGTCATGCACTTAAAGGGATAATTTTGAAGCACAAGATAATGATAATTACTTTCATGCAATTTCATGAAAAGACTAAAGACTACTAGGAAAAAAACATGAATTTGAGCTGAAAGTAGGCCATTGTAGTGTACCAAGGGAAAATGAACACATAAATGTACAATAACATGATAGACATAATGAACAAAGGGCCTGCCTTTCAAGCTGTTAGTTTCAAGTTTGTTGTAACATTGCATTTCATATCTTGAGAGTTACTTGCTCATCAATTTCATGAATTCTTTGCAAATATGAATGTTAACAGTTATTAACCTGTGTTACTTTCAATCATTTTGCAGTTGTTACACAGACTTGTAGATGGAACTTGCCACAGACCAAGACCAAGTTATGATGAATTTTCCAAAGTATGGTCGCTACAAGACTGGTGGACTCTAACTGATGCATATACCGATCTTTTCAAGGAAGCTGTGAAAAATACTTGGACCAAAGACATGGTTTGGCACCATATTATCACTTAATGTTATTTAACTTACAATTCAATCATGTGAAAACTACATGTATATAAATCAATAACAGTAAACAGGCTTACTAGTGCAGTTGTGAAAATGTCAAACAAACATCCTTTGTTGGCTCAGAGTGGAAATTAATATGATATTATATAAATTTTGTATTTGCTTGCAATGGAAACTTAAAATTAATTTATTTCAGTGGTTGAGTTAATCTTTACTTTGAACATACATTACTGCCGTGTCCATTCAACATTTTGAAGCTTGAGCATTTGCATACACACATTATACCCAGGGAATGTGCATAATCATGTTAAAAATATGTATTGCAGCACACAAAATCCTCTTCTTCTAAAATTACATTTTCCCCCTTGTATTTCTGTTATAGCTGCTTGAAAACCTAGAAGGCCTGGATGCAGATTATAAGTCAGTGATATTTGATGTTATTGACAGTAGAAGAGCTGATATCAGAGGACAATTGTTATGTGACAGTCATGCTATATCACAGGCTAATATGACTGATTTTGATTGGAAATTAAAGGTACAGTAAAAAAAAAAGTAATGTTCTTTTTTGTTGTTACACACAACAATCATAAGGATCAACAAATTTCATTTTAGAAAACTTTCTTTACACTGACTACACTGAGTGCACACCTACATTGATTATGCTGTACTACAATACAGCATGTAAAAACTGTGTGAAGGAATCAATTTTTCAGCTCCGTGGTCCAGAGCATTATGCAAACTTGTATGTAAACCTTTGTTTTGGAGTTCAGATCACACAAGAGCATTGTGTAAACATTTATGTAAGTTTGTAAAACTTCGTTTTGGAGTTCTACTCACACAGAGGATTTTTTGCTGCATTTGCATTGTTTTGTTCCAAATTCAAAGTTTAATGTAAATGTTTGCAAGATGTGGGTAAACCAGTTATTAACCGAAAGTGATTAGCCATATTGAATTCCTGCAGCCCGAGCAGTCTCTATACTGTTGGTAGCCCAACTTTTGTTAACTGATATCCCTTTAACTTGAATTATTAGTTTCATATACAAAGTAGAGAAAATCCATTACAAGTCCACACGTTCAGCTGGGTAAGGGTTAATAGAAATATGTTTGTATAAATTTGTGCTATTTACATCAATAAATTTGCTATCTGTCTTCAAGGCATGTTTTTGATACCTTGTTTTACCATCTGGTATCAGGTGTATGTTGCCCCATCACAACAGAGCTCCTTTTGAGTGAATGTTATTTCTTTTGTAGTTGGTGATGTCAAGTGATAAAATATCAAGTGTGCAAGAGCCAGTGCTCGCCCTGGATATGGAAGTGCAGACAACAGACGGAAGAAAAACAGTGTCAGTTGAATTGAATAAAGAACAACTTAGTAACATGATAAACAGTTTAGAGGGAGCTAACAAGGTAATGATTCATTTATTCACAAAGGTGAGTTTATCTCCCTTTATTTGATGTACATGCAGATAAGTGAATGTTTGTATTTTTTTCTCACTGAACAAGAAAAGAATGTGTTTTAGTGCATTGGCAGTAACAGATGTTTGTAATAAATCACTATTAATTTAACAAATGAGTTTTTCAGGAAAACTTGATGCATAGGTCATGAAATTAAATTTTGACTTAATCAGGCCTTGACATATAATTTACAATTACGTTTTGTTGAACATGATTTTAAAAAGCCCAACAACAATGATTTCTTGTGACTGAATTATATAGCAAAATTTTGTAGATTAATGATTTTCATCTCCAATCAAACCATTATGAAGACCAGACCAATGGCAAGTACATTGTGAAAGAACAATAACTCTACAATTTGTTTTAAATTATCTCCCTCTAAAGTACTTAAGGATAATCAAACTTGTTCAGAGAAAAAGATGACATGATTTAAAGGAAATTGATTACAAATTTCACACAGTGTTATATGAGAGCAGTGAGAGGAAGTCAAATACCATATTGCTACATATACCTTTATTACATAAAACAAAGGGCATGAGTGTAATAAAGCCATTTATTAAATTGATATTTCACTTGTGTAATAACACTTTGATGTGATATCATTTGCCTTATATACAAATAAAGTGTTTAAACGCACTTATGTTAACATTACACTTAAGCACACTTAAGCACATCAATGAAAGTGTCTCTTTTTTTTACTGTAAACATTGTTGTTTTGAATATGTGATCGATAGAACATTATATTTATGTAGATTCAATACTAAATGTATTGAACAAGTTGAATAAAATCATATTAAGTGAGCATAATATGATTTTATTCAACTCGTTCAATAAATTTAGTATTTAACCTATACTATACTCATTCAATATCCTCTTTTTAATTTTTCAATTATCTCCTCTTTAAAGGCACATTATGCCTCAGAAACTCTGGCAGAGTTTTAAAAAGTTTTTACACTTGTACACTTTTAATTTTCCACCACATTGGAATAGAAGACGAGAACGAATGTTTCAATCCACATATTTTATTGTCTAATTGTTCACATTTTAGGTTGTATGAACTTGTATCACTACTTTACTATATTCTATAATGTCCCCAAACATACAAATCAGAGCCAGAGCATAGTTATATTTAAACTAAAATTGTTATCACCAAAAAAGTATGAAAATCATGATTTGGAGTAAACCTAAAGAGTAATGATTTCCCGCCTTAACTATATGGAGCGATATTGTTATATAAGAAACATTTGGAGCAATTTAGAATTATGGAGCATGTCAATATGAACACAAATAGGAGTATTAATATGTTAAATCAACGAGTATTTCGTGGAATTCACGACAGAAACCAGTAAATTTCTAATTCTTTAAAAAGGTAAAAAATGTGTTATCGGGTAAATTATGTTTTGATAATGGATTTAGAGCATGTTTGATGTTACACATTTAACGAAAGTAGCGCTCAACATTCAAGAATATACCATTCAAGAATGTGTCATAATGGTAGAAAAATGTAAACAAATAGAGGAGTACATGTACTGTATTTTGACTTCCATACAAAATCAGTATGATTATACAATGTAGGCAGCATTATGTCTATATGGCCAATAGTTAACTTCTTGGACACCATTTCAAAATACCAAAAATAGAAGTTTTTGAGAAATGACAATGATAGCATTTCAGGGCATAATGGGCCTTTTATTACAAAGCTATAATTTATGGTTGGTATAATTATGAAGAATATTAAGCCAGCAACATGATTTTGATTCTCTTTTAGTCTTATAAAATATAATGTTTTACTTTTTTAATTTCTCATTTATTTTCAATTGCTTTCATAAAGATTGTTTTTACACCCCCCCCATCCTCTTCCCATCAATTAAAGGTCATGCCAAGGATAATTATTAATCTAGATTTTGATGTGTTGATAATTGAAAAAAAAGATAATTTATATGTCATATTTGTCATAGAAATATCATTGAAACACCTGCTACCTTAATGTGAGCCGTGTCATGACTAAACCAACATAATGGCTTTGCGACCAGCATGGATCCAGACCAGCCTGCGCATCCGCGCAGTCTGATCAGGATCCATGCTGTTCGCTTACCAACTCTATTACAAGTACAGCAACATGGATCCTGATCAGACTGCGCAGATGCGCAGGCTGGTCTGGATCCATGATGGTCACAAACCCATTATGTTGGTTTTGTCGTGACACGGCTCATGTATTCTTATATTTCTCCCTGTATATTATGTGTCTTCTAATTTCGGTACATTTTATTCTGATAAATTTCAAGCCTTTAGAACTGCAAAATCATTATAAATCATTGGGCTCTAATTTTTGTGATTTTCCTGGATAGGTCAATTCACAAATTTAATAAGATTTGACAGAAGTTTATTGGGTCTGCTGTAAGATTATTTTTGCATTACATTATTTGCATGTAACTTATTTTTGTAAAAATGTTCTATACAAGACCATTTAAATTTTAATTGATTTATTCAAATAAGGCCATTTATTACATGGACTGCGGATTTTGCGACTCTGTAAAAATGATATTGCAAAGCCATGCATATATTTTTACACGACATCATTTACATTTTACAAACATTGTGTAAAGACGTGCTAAATGTTAGCATTACATAATAGGACCTTCGATAGAATATGGTTCATTACTGAATTTATTGAACTTGTTGAATAAATTAATATTTTGTTGCCAGAGTCTCGGATAATATAATTTTATTTAACACTTTCAATAAATTCAGTATTGAACCTTCACTCATTCAATATCATCTATTTATTCAAACAAACATATTTTCTTATGTACACTTTTAACCTTTTTTGTTCACCAAAAATCAAACCATATGCCTGTATAAAACTGTTTCCAAAAAAAGCACCATTTATGAAAAAAATAAAAATGAATAAATATACGGATTATATATTTGATTTAACTGAAATAAGATTAAGTCTGTTAAGATAACAATGTACACATAATATATTATATATTATGTTTATTATTTTCTTATTTTATTACAGGCCTTGGTGCAGTTGAAGTCGTGACCTGTATACTAGTTAGGTCTATATGGGGCCAGCAGTATTCAACATTCAACAATATGTGCTAGAGACACTATCTTCCCATTAATTGTGCAATAAATTATATTTTGTTATAAATAATTGTTATATCAATATATGATAATTCTGATTTTAGTTTGTGAATACATTGTATATGAAATTGATGTAATTGTGTAAATAATTGTAAGAGAATTATTTCTTTACTGAATAAGTGTGCATATTTGTTTTTGTTATTCTAAACAAATGTTGTTATTTGATTGTTTGTGAACACATTGATGGACCATTGTTTCAAAGTTATACTTTTTTTTTTTTTTTTTTTCCTTTTTTACCTTTGATTTTTTGGTAAATGTCCATTTACTCAGACATTATCAAAGTTATTCACTTTAACCTTGGTATATCTCATAGGTATCATTTTCAAAGTTATGTCTCTTTAATCCAAATTATTTTTTTGCATAGTTATGCCCTTTTTTTTCATAAATTTCCTTTTTGCCACTGGTTGATTGATCAAAAACTATTAAAGGTATTCATTTCAGACATGCAATACTTGATCACTTTCAAAATTGGAACACATTTCAGAAAAGCAGGTTATCTTATTTTTCATTTTTGCTCAGCTTAACCCCATTTTCAACTTTAAGTTTCGTTTTTAATGTACAAACACTGTCAAAGAAATTCATATTCAACTTTTAATTATTAAGAGGTATCAAGGGGTTGCCTAATTACTTATATATCTTATTGTCAGCAATTTTCATTTCTACCTAAATTATTTTGATTTGGACAGCTATATGAAATGATTTATCTATAAATAACATAGTTATCCTTTAGAAAAACTGAAGGCTGCTTTAATTATTTTGTTTTAGTTACATGTATTCTAGTTTATTTGCATGACTTTCAAAGCAAATCAGCTGTAATATGATATCGGGCAATACATGTCTATATGTATTATTGTATATGACCTTGGCTGTTCAATATTTCTCTACTCTAATAACAACTACTGTATATCAGGTTATTTTCATGTACGGCTAATTTCCCGATTATGGCAGAAATCTAATTTAAGCGAATCCAATTTTACAATTTTGTTGTGAAATTTATATTTGTTGTATGCAAATATCGCAAAAATTAGGTAGCCATGAAAAAAAACCTGATATACGGTAAAAAAAATTAAAATATAAAATGATTGATAAAAACTGATATTAATTTTGTGACCTAATGAGGCAGATGTTTTGTTAGTAAGATTTCATTTTAAGTTGCTTTGTTTATATAGCAGTAAGTATTTGAAATACAGTTCTACACAGCTGAGGATGATACTCTTATAAATCTGATATCTATAAAATGGTTGATTACTCATGGCCTGTCTACATTGAAACCTTATGTGACGCAGCATGTCATTATACAAAAAATGTTAAGATGTATCAATTTAGCAAAGAGAAGACAAAACAAAATAAAACTTGTGAACTGTAAATAAATTTTGTGTAACATATGTTACAATTTAAAGTACATTCTAATGTGAACATAGAAAATAAACATATGAAAAAAATGATATTACATATTGCTTGATTTTTAAATCCATTTGAATTAACTTCCAACTTCAAACACTACAACAGCTTGATATTGAGTGCTCACTTATAGATTTATTCCTTTTTTAGCTCGACTAGTCGATAAGTATAAGCAGAGCTAATTTAGTGAACCAAGCGTCTGCATAACCACTTATGTTAAAGTTTTTGTTACACCTCAAACATTTTCAAAGTCCATTGACATATGGCTTAACCTGTAGACAGGAGGAGGTAACTCTATCAAGCATTTTGACAGAATTATGCCCTTTTTTCCACTTAGAATTTGCATTAAAGTTTGCATACCACCTCAGATATTTTCATATTCCATTGACATCTGGCTTTGCAACAAGTTGAAATTTTATACACTTCTTTGTGAGGATAATAGGACTCTCTTCAAGGCCTATAACTGTAACATGGATTTAAAGAAAAATTAGGCCATTTTGTTAACATACAAAATTTTACATTATTAAGACTCTTACTATCAAGTACATAGAATAGTCGAGCATGCTGTCCTACCGACAGCTCTTGTTTCACACATTATTTCAAGCACAAGCATCTTGGTAGAATTAAAAACCTGTTTGCTATCTGTAATTCAAGTATTGCTTCCTTACATAAAGTAATTCAAGTATTGCTTCCTTACATAAAGTAATTCAAGTATTGCTTCCTTACATAAAGTAATGCAAGTATTGCTTCCTTACATAAAGTAATTCAAGTGTTGCTTCCTTACATAAAGTAATTAAAGTATTGCTTCCTTACATAAAGTAATTAAAGTATTGCTTCCTTACATAAAGTAATTAAAGTATTGCTTCCTTACATAAAGTAATTCAAGCATTGCTTCCTTACATAAAGTAATTAAAGTATTGCTTCCTTACATAAAGTAATTAAAGTATTGCTTCCTTACATAAAGTAATTAAAGTATTGCTTCCTTACATAAACTTTAAAGTAATTAAAGTATTGCTTCCTTACATAAAGTAATTCAAGCATTGCTTCCTTACATAAAGTAATTAAAGCATTGCTTCCCGACATATAGACAATCAAGCATTGCTTCCTTACATGAAGTAATTCAAGCATTGCTTTCTCACTTAAAGTAATTCAAGCATTACTTTTTCACATAAAGTAATTCAAGCATTGCTTCCTAACATAAAGTAATTAAAGTATTGCTTCCTTACATAATGATAAAGTAATTCAAGTATTGCTTCCTTACATGAAGTAATTCAAGTATTGCTTCCTTACATGAAGTAATTCAAGTATTGCTTCCTTACATGAAGTAATTCAACATGAAGTAATTCAAGTATTGCTTCCTACATGGAGACAAAGGTCTAGATTTGTACCGACAGCCGAGCAAGGCACATTATTTAGCAATCTTAACCACTTTGCTGCAGTGCACTAAAATCTGATGTGCTTGACTTTTATAAAACAAGATTAAGGCATTTCATAATTATTGCTGAAATTGATGAATAGCCAATGTTACTATTGAAAAGATATACAATGTGTATTTAGTAATGAACCTTATCACATAAACCGCAGAGCAGGAGTGTAATAAAGCCATTTAATAAAAACGATATTACACTAGTGTAATAACACTTTGATGTGACATCATTTGCGCTATATATAAACATAGCATTAAAGCGTGCTAATGTTAGTGGTACACTATAGGTGCCTCATTGAAAAAATACTCATTTTTATCAGTTAACTGTTCTTATTTTATATACGTGATAAAAAGAATATTATATTTGCCTAGATTCAGTACTAAATTTATTGAACTTTTTGAATAAAACAATATTATGCTCACCAAAGGCCCCCATAGTATGATTTTATTCAACTTGTTCAATAAATTTAGTATTAAACTACACTCATTCAATATCTTTTTTTATGCCATATACAACTGGCATAATCTTGTAGAGATAGAAAAAGAACTGTTGAGGCAAAGAGATACCTCCACACACAACTTCGACGGAATTTATGTAACGGCATTTTACCTTTCGCAGGATCCCCTAGTCAGTGACCCAGGTTTAGTTCCCAGCACTGCCATGTTAGTAATGATTTTTCAACAGGAGTGCATTCAAAGGACTGCAAAAACTTTAAAACCATGGTAACTTTGCATATATCAAATTTAATCTCTATTTTTTAGGCACTTTTTTACTTTAGATACCCAGTTGAAAGCTCTTCCAAGTAATTTCTATAATGGCTTTCCTTGAAATAAAAGCCTAGTACTGAAAAATACCAACTATTTATGATAAGTTTTTAGCCACTGAAATTAAAGTTTCGATAAAGGGACCCCTTTAAAATTTCAGGAAATCCATCATGAACTGTAGGAGTAGTGATCACACGTTTTCACATGTGTGGACTGCTCAACCAAAAACCTGATGATCTTCTATTTTTGTTAACGGGGATATAAGAACACATTAATTCAAGACAAACAAGCATCATGTACTTTTAAACTTTTATTTGGTCCCAAACTTAGCAATTAACAAATATGTACACACATCTTGACTAGAGTTTGCTAAGAAATAACAGTGAAAAAAGAAAAAACAACCTAGAAGTATTAACAGGTAAGGCTGAAAATAATACTGAATGTTAGGTAACGATGAAAATGCAAACATGTTATAACGTTAGTACAATAGTAATCAAAGCTTATTTCAGCTGTTTTAATGTCAAAATTTAGATGGTGAATTTTTCCTTAACTTCAGATTTGCAAAAAATAAAAATCTGCTTGTTCAGCAAAATAATAATTTTGAAATTAAAGGGGAATAATTCTGTCACATGTTGACACATTAAAACACTAGATATTCTTCTCAACTAATTACTTATCACAATAAACAGTTTAAATTTATTATAACCAGTTTTTAAATTCTGTCTAAATCTAAATACTTATCACAGAAAATCTATGGAAGTCAAATAACTTTGCTCAAATAATGCTAACAAAATTGGAGATAAAAAATCTCATCATAAAAACATGGTACAACTAGAGCCGTCAAATACCCCAATCTTCTCTATGACATAGGATACTGTGTATTGCAATTCATCATTACATTTTTAAAAGAAAATATTTGAAAAAAAAAAAAGACATCGGAAAAGTACAGGATTTTAGGTGCAGACACAAAATGTTCAAATTTTGACCTTTAAGGGTGACCTTGACCCTGAACAGTGGCAGTCTGGGTTCTGCACATTGCCAAGGCAAGTTTGAAGACAATATTTCATGGGGTTAAGGATTTATAAAGTAGCCATAAAATTGTCTGAAAATTTACCTTAACCCTTAAAGCGTGGCCTTAATTATGAGACAGCACAGCTGTGGCATAAATTTGTTAAGGTGAAAATTTGAGCTCAGTTTAAAGAAAATCCTTCAAGGGGTATATAAAGCAGACGTAAAGGAGACAGACAAACTGACCAACTGACCAGACAAGGTGATTTCAATGTGACCCCTTCCACATTATGTGGTGGGGGTAAAGTTAGATTTAAGTTTGTTGTAGAGATCTCAAATACATTTTTCTTCTTCAAAAAAATGATATTGTTAAGTTAATCTTACCCAGCAAATACACCGCTTTTACAACTTCATTAGGGAGCAACCAACTCTTTATATCTTAATTTCAAGTTTTAAAACCACAGCTTTAACACTGACAAAGTGTTTTCAAGACATGGAAACAACAAACTTAACTAGAATTGTGCCTATGGCACGGATGCCTCAACATTTTCTGTTTTGAGAAATCAAAGACTAACAGTAGGACGGAAAATGGGTGATCTA